ATCCAATTATATACATACTCAGGTCCATTTAAGTTAACCTCGCTTTATACTTATAGACTTACCCAGTGTACTGATTGATACTACAGAGGTGGATCCGCACCCTGGATGGGATTTTTAGGGGATAGAAATCCTATCACTAGTTTTAAACTATCTAACCTAATCTAGATCCTGTTTCGACTGCATCTGTTATAGGAGAGGCACAATATTACCTTTTAGGGTATGGTTAGAGAACATCTGAATATTTCCATATATATTTTTTTGCCCAGAACCTTGAAGAAGGTAAATCACTCTTTGTTACCACCTACAGCTTCCAATTATACTACAAATATAATCTTCTTTTAAGTAAACGCTGGATTGGGATAGCCCCAGGCTAGGGTATTCTTGTGTGATAGAGTCTGCCGTTGCCAGTTTGGATTAGAGTTTTTGTGAGCTTATACCAGAGTTAAACCAGAAGTCTTTCTTTGTGCAACCTTTCTTGTTTCGACCTGTTTTCAACCCACAATCATCGGGAAGACCAGAGGTCCTATCTTCATGCAGCCTAACTAAATTTGGAGATTGATTGTCAGCTGATTGGGTATAACATGAATTGGAAGCTGGTCAACCAATCATGAAGATGATAAATTTTTGTAACCAGGTGAGTTTGAACCTTAGACCTTTTCCTGGTAACCTATGGAATATTAACACTATGCTATAGATCCATAGGTTTATATAATTTGTTAAGTATTGTTTTTTATATAAAGTCATTTTATATACTAATTTAGTGAATATTGAGATTGTAACCTTTTAGAAAAGGTATTATTGTATAACAATCATTTGATAGATATTATAATGATTATTAAAAAGTTATAAAGTATATAAAATATCTATTTTTATCTAGTGGATTTGATAAGTGTTTCTCTAATATCTGATATTTTTCTTATAGAATTCTATTCAAGTCTTATCTCAATCCAATAATAAATCAGTCTAGTAATACTTATTTTGAAAATGTGTCTAGCTATAAAACTAGTTTAGTAGTAAAAGCATAAGTCTGTTTAGGTAGTAAGAACCAATTATAAATTTATATTAAATGTTTTTGAGTAATATTCAAATTGGTAATAAATTAAAATTATTTTTAATAAAAAAATAAAATATAATTCATTCTAAATATTATCTTAATAATTCTGTCATATATTAATATATAAGAGAAATAGCAAGAACATTGCAATAAAATAACAAGAACTTAAATATAGAAATCAATGGCTTCATAAAACAATAGCAAAATAGCAAATGAATTAGCATATAAATTATATAAAAAAGATTCAAAATATAATTTAAAACTGAAGATAAAAAAATAATAAACTGGAAAAGAACATAAGTAAACTTTTTATCATTGAAAATTACAAGTTTTCATATCAGTTAACAATATTATAACAATAGAATATTTAGATACAAATTGCTTAATAAAGAGCTTTCTACTAAAAACAAACCAAATAAGAAAAGATCTGATATATATAAAAACAATATATGCCTCTGGTGCAAAAAATGAGAGATCACAGAACATATTTTTAGCAAGTATTACAAAGATAAAATCAAAATTACATATATACAAATATTAAAAAAAAATATTTGATAAAATAAAAAAATAAAAAAAAACAATTAATAGGAAAAACCAACTTGAGCATATTATTAATGACTCAAAAGGAACTATTAAATATATAATTAAAAATATTTATAAAAAGAATTTAATCAATCTAATAGAATATATTAATAATATAAAATCAAAAACATATTAAAAACAATTACAAATCAAATAACAGAAAAATTCTAAAAACTTTAGAATTATAAATAGACAAGATTCTAATAATGAAAAAAAAGAAAAATATAAGCAGAAAAAAAAGAAAAAAAAAAGAAAAAAATAACAAGTTGACATTTAATTCAAGGATATAATATATAATACAAATTTTTCATAGAAAGAATAAAGAAAACAAGAAAATTGCAATAAAAACTTATAAATAATTTGTTAGACCAGAAAAACAATATAACCAATTTTAATTTTTATTATTCATATAATAACAATACTAACAGAGTCTTAATACATTAATTTTGATATATGTTAAAAAGTAAGTCAATAGTAATAGGCTGATATGGAACTATCTCAGTATAGTATAACATGTATTTAAAATAGTTTATAGATAATAATTCTTGTAATAAGAAATATAAATGTAAACTAAATAAAGTATATTGAGCAAAGCCTTGTTAGTTGAAAAAAAAATTCTGTTATATTTATATAAAAGATATATGAGTTAGTAATTCAATATAATAGTAATTATAAAAAAAAAACTCTTTTTCGTATACAAAATTTTTCTTAAAAATTTTTTTTTATAGTAATTTTTTTTAAAATTAAAGAAGCAGTTTTTTTTATCTGTCTTTTAATATCCAAAAGTCATTCTTACTTCTTTTATTTTCACTATAAGAACTTTAAGAAACCCAAGAAAATATACTGGTGCATTGGGATAGAACCTCTGATCAGAGAAAAACAAGTTTGAGCTCTTGTTTTTTTTTTAAATTGAATGAGAAAAGGCCCATGACAGTTATTTTTCTATAAATCTTTCTTAGTGTTCTTTCTATTTAAGTTTTTTATTAAAAAATTATTCTTATTAAATAATTATTTTCTGTTCTTGGAGAACTGTTTTTTAACTCAAAAACCAAACTTTATATCACTATTGTCTTTATTATTAACTTGGGATACCAGCAGTATATATAATACACATTCTTCAATATTGTTTAACATAATATGTTGTGTTATAAAAAATCAAAAATTTTCACTCAAAAAAATTTCTTATCAAAAAACTGTAATTAGTTTATTTCTGTCAACTGATTATTATCTTAAACTCAATCAATCAAATATTATCAAATATTAAAACAAATTCATATAACCAAAATATCATACAATAATCAATGTAAACAAAACCAATTTTGATAATTACAATCAAAACAAAATCACATTATTGATTTGTAAACCAATTATCTTATCAATTATTAGTTATATCAATACAACAATAACAACAACTACAACAACAAACCAAATCATATGTACCTTATCATCTATGTCAACAAAGATTATGCTTATAAGTAGCAAAGAACTAAAGAGGCAGGATAATAAGCCTGGCCAGAGGTTCTCTTGGAAATATAATTTTTTTTCTCATAAATTTTATAGTTTATTTGATTTTGTTCTAGTTCTAGTTACTTTTATTTTTTCTCTTTTTTTTTTTTTTTCAAATTCTTCTTATGTCTCAAATATATTTTTTTAAGTAGATAAGCATAGCTACTACTTGGCCTATATTTAACAATAATATTGTTTTAAAATTTTTTTTCAGTATTAGCTATTTATAGTTTTAGTGAGTAGGCTAGCATTAAACTTACTGTATGTTTTGTATTCAAGAAATGTTGATTTTTTCTAAATGTATACCTTGTAATATACAAATAAATAAAGAATTGATATTTATCTACAGAAAAAAAAAAATATAATAGTAATTATATTAACTATTAGTTTTTATTTTTCAAATAAAGTATTAATTATTATAATTAAAGCAATAGTTACCAAATAACAAATAGTTCTATTTTTCAAATAATTTTGAAATAATTTATATATGTATTCATATTATTATATGATTTTCAACCATTTATTATATGTTAGTAAGTAAATTTAATATAATATAATTTTTGAGAATATTCGAATTCAATTTTATTATATGCATAATTATATAAAGACAATAAATTAATAATAATTAAAATCAAAGGAATGTGTATAATAAAACATTGTATTTTATATTTGTCATTTTTTCAAAAAAAACAAACATTTTTTTTAAACGATTAAACAAAACATTTATTTTTTAAAAAATTTTGGTATCAAGAAATAATATCAAATAATTTTTTTGTTGAAATTTGTTTTATATAAACATCTAAAAATAAAAAATTAACAATATCTCTTTATAATGTAATATGAGTTTAGTTAATTTATAAAAAATATACAATATTATAGTTTTGTTAAATATAAAAGGGATTGATAATTAAAAATAATATTTTCGTTCTTGCATTGGCACCTTTCGCCCAAAACAACAATATTTTCGTTATGAATATTTAACTCGAATTTAGGAAATTTAAAATCTAAGCTATAAACTCACCGTCTATTTCGAAGAATTATTAATGAAAATTTTAAGCCACATGTTTTTATCAGATTATTTTGATGTCATGTCAGTAATAATATTTTTTACTATCACAGAATCCCGATTAAATTCAGAAGTATAGCTTAATAATCAATCATTATTTAAACAAAGTGTTTAATATAAATCGTTACATTACAGTATTTGAAATCGTCGAATACGTGCATATGTGAATTTTCTATTAGGAGAATGCTTTCACTGATTACGGAATTCATTCGGGATAATAATTTCACCGTCAGATGATACAAAATGCTATGTGATTTCGGGATGATAATTTCGCCGAAAATGATTGTAGACCAGAATTGGACTCGGATGAATTGAATTAGTAAACGAGCATATTTGAACGCTAAATGGTTTATAGGTGGATTACAAATCAACCTCGTCCGAAGTTGGTCGAAAGATTACTATCAATTAATAATATTACATTTTGAAATTTCGATATGTGGGATTATAGGAAATTAGAAAGGTATATATATACACTTGTTCTGAATGATAAATTTCAAAAAATACAATACAAAATATCAATTCGAATTTTAAGTTTCTTTCAGAAAACTTTGCATACAAACAATGAATTCATCACAAAAACCAAACGTTGTAATCTTGGGCGGAGGTTATGCCGGAATTGCTATAGCCACAAAACTCGAAGCCGCCTTGCATAAAACTCACCAAATCCTTTTGATTGAACGTAAAACCCACTTCTATCATGCTGTCGCTGGACCAAGAGCGGTTACTATTGAAGGATTCGAGGAAAAAATAATGATCCCATATGATCATATGTTCAAATTTGATGGTAAAGTGATTCATGCGATCGCCACATCCATACGACAACGTGAGATTACCGTTAGCTTAGACGGCGACAATAACAATCAAAGGAACATTCCATTTGAATATTTGATTATCGCCACCGGAAGTAGTTATCCACGACCCGGAAAGATGGAAGCTGATAACAAGTTTGATGCGGTTAAACAGATTGCTGAACAAAGGAATGCTATTAAGAACGCAAAAAGGATCTTGATTGTTGGTGGAGGACCAGTTGGTATTGGTATGTATTTTATATAATGATTTTTTCTCATGTGTATTTTTTATACTTATTATATACATATATTTAATACCAGAACTCGCCGGAGAAATCGCATCAGTCTATCAAAATAAACAAATTACACTTGTTCATTCCGAAAAAAGTTTACTCAACTCGAAATATCCACAAAAAATGAGAGATATGTTGGCCGATCAGCTAAAAGAATTGAAAGTGAACCTAGTGTTGGGTGAAAGAGTTGACCTTACTTCGATCAGTACTGACGGATTAACTCCGGTTACCTTAGAAACCAATAATAATAGAGTGATTGAATCCGATATACAATTCGTGACCATCGGTAGCAAGCCCAATACCGAAATCATAAAAACATTAGATGCCTCTCTTCTTGAACTTAATACAAATCTGGTCAAGGTTAAACCCACTCTTGAATTGGATAATGACAACTACGATCGTATATTTGCTGCGGGTGATATTACCAATATTCAAGAAACTAAAATGGCTTATCGGGCGGGTCTCCATGCCGAAATAATAGTAAAAAATGTACTGGCAAAGGTTAATAATAATAGATTGGTTGATTATAAGTCTCCACCAGAATTAATTCTTGTTACCGTTGGAAAGGTAATTATCTCGATCATTGCGATTTAATGAATCTTTTCTTTACATATTTTAATTCTTTTCCATTGAATGAATAGAAAAAGGGCGCAGGTCTCTTACCGATGTTTGGTGGTAAGGTTGTAGGAAGTTTCATGATTAAAGGCATAAAGGGCAAAAGCTTGTTTATTGATAAATACTGGAAATCTTTGAATGCCAAACAAGAAAAGTAGGAATGGATAACAAAACATAAATGATTATTTATTATTATGTACATATAAGCAATGCAAAAAATTACTATCCACTTTTTTTTTATAGTTGTATTATTTTTATTTTTATTAATATCAGTGTTTTATTTGAAATTATAATTACCATTAAATCATAGATATTTTATATCGATTTTTTTTTTCTCTTGTATAAAAAAACAATTTTTTTGGCTATATAACAGTACATAATAACGCTCAATGCTCGATAATTAAACGTGTCGTATATACTCACTTCCCAAAACATACGGAAACTTTATTATGCATACATAATTTAATGCATTGTTATACAGTATTGTGTGGGTCACCTATTCTGAATACGTGCCTCAATTCTTTTAGGTAAACTGAGAGAAATATTATTTGAAATTTGATCATGCTCTTCATTTAACTCTTCAAGGTCATTAGTATTTCTTAAGTTACCTTAAGTCGCTGTTTAAATTGTCAGAGGATAAAAATGCGACGCGACGCTCTTCATGTGACCGATAGTCACGAAAGTGTTTGGACCGGCGGAACGCGGTAGTATTGAGATTGAGAATTTAATCAGAGCAATTGTGATCAAACATTATCTAATAAGACAAAGTTGTGAAAGAACCTTAGTTAATCATGTTCTGCATATTTTTAATCGTAAAGCCTATGCGTTGAAAATGTATAAGATAATGAAAAGGAAGAGATAATAAAGCATAGAATATATATTTTTTACTCGTTCAAATAGAAACTCGCCTCATAACCTTTCAATCTCTTAACCCATCAACGGTTATGCGAAACTCAGCCCCATTGTAGCGACAGACTCACCGATCGCCCGTTACTATAGTATCTACAGTATATACAGTATCCGTATTTTAATATACAGTATAATTAGTCTGGGCATAGCGAAGGACTCTATATCTCTATGCAGTTTGATAAAAAGTGTTCGTCTGTCCACCCTGCATTGTATAGCTAATAAAACAGTTTTGAAATGAACTCTTAACTGTGGTTAAATTGGGCTTGTTGCTAGTACATTTTTGACTAAGATATCAGGGATTTTCTAACAAAGAAGAAAGATAAAGACTTGAGAAATAATCAAAAGTACAAGACAAATTTGAATTGATTCAGGAGTTAACACTTAATTAAAACACTAATATTGCATATGTGACCAAGTTAGCAATAGACTTGCTAGTCATAACAAATCTAGTGAACAAGATTCACATAGTATACAAAAAAGTACATAACATATCAAAACATATTAGGTATAATGAATGATAATTTCTTTGTTTTTTGTTGCAATATATTTTACGGTATATTTTATTAAAGAATAATGACACGGATGAATAATTAAGAGAGATGAATATTTGGCAACACACCTAAATTTTGTTTTGATTCTTTTGAATGAGAAATCTACCAAAATGACAATCCAAGATATAAGAGGTGTTAGTAAATAATTATGGAAGGACTTGGTTTACTCTAAATATCGAATCTCATGAAAAAAATCACAAAGTAATCAAAGGACTTAATCCTATTTGGACTAAAAGCAAAGGTTGGAATTTCTCGATCTAGATTCTAATGGTCATGAGTTGGATCAGGTAACTATTTTTTATTATTCGTTCTATTACTAACAAAGATTTAAACAATTCAAGCACCCACCATATATTTAAGTATATTGATATGAAACAAGTAAATTTATTTGTCTGGTGTGGATTCTTGGTATGAGATATGGTAAATACAATAATTTGAAATCAATTTTAAAATTAATATTGTAAAGGTGATGATGATTATATAAAAAAGAAGCTAGATAATAATATAACAACGTTCCATGGTAATAATCACAAATAAATTAAAAGATGGTGGATTAAGACCTACCGAAAAAGGGATCAGCTGTAATAGATAAAATAAGTCCTGGCGTTCTTTTTAAGCTTTGTGTAGGAAAAAAAAAAAAAAAGCATTATTTTTTTTAAATTCAATTAATTATTCTTCTAAAAACATTCGTGACTTCTTGGGTGACCACTGTCTCATTGGTAGCGGTGACCGTGTAAATATTATGTTTTCTAGCACCGGTCGTGTTATTAATTGTTGTTCGTTATATACTGTATATTTTGTCTTTACTGTATAGTCTTTTGTAAAATCATTTTTTTATGTGATGATAAATAATGTGTTTCATATCAATTATATCCATTGACCACATAGAAAGTGACATATTTTATAAATATAATAACGCATGTGATTTATTTCATATATAAAAAGTGTAAAAGCTTTCTTATTGCTATTATTATAAAATTTAACAAAATAAAACCAATTATTTTTATTACTCGTATTTCAATCCTTCCTCTTTTGATACAAATGATGACTTATTATTTCTCCAATTTGCATAACATGTTCCGATTACTAACTAATACAAAGTATGCAATCTAATAACAGTATATTCATAACAATCACTTGTACCTCCAAGAAGTTGTGACATAATAAAAAAAATGTCCTACAATTTAAGGGATATGGATTAAATAATCAATTTTTACTTGTATTTTGTATTTCTCATATCTGATAAATTTCTAGCTGGTGAATAATTTCCACATATACATAGAATCACAAATAAATAAGTACACATATGGAAATATAGATGAAAAGGTAATAATAATAAAATAATCAATTTTTACTTATATTTCATATCTGATAATTTTCTAACTGATGATAATCATATGTATATAAAATCACAAATATATATAGATTGGTAAGTACATATGCAGAAATATAAATGAATACAAGAAACAATTAATTCTTACTTATATTTCTTTAAATTTTTAGCTAGGGATAATTTCTTATATATATAGAATCATGGATAGATATACATGTATATAGATAAGTACACATGAAAATATAAATAAATAGATTGATCATATGATTATATACTTTATAACTTAATATATTTATAGATAATAATAATAATACACTTTTATGACATTCATATTTTATATAACAAACTGAAAATTTTTATAAAAAAAATTTTTTTTTTATAAAATAATTAAAGTTTCAATATTTTATTAAATTAAATTATTAAATTTTAAATGTTCAAAATATTGTGAGGATTATTTTCTAGTTAAGAAAATATTTATTCTTTAAAATAAGTAATTATTATTATTGTTTTGTTTCAAAATTTTTATTAAAAATATATTTATTTAAATTAATATGCTGATATATATTTAACAATATATATATATATAATATTTAACAATATATATATATATAATATTTAACAATATATATATATATAATATTTATTAATTTTTAAATTAAATGCAATAATATATAAATATATTAATACTATGTAATTAATATTATACAAAATATTTATTAAAAGTTAAATACTTTTAGACATGAATATAAAAAAAATTTTTTATTTTTGTATAAAAAAACATCTATATAATATATATTGTAAATATTTTATAATTATTTTAAACTAAAAAACTCTTTCCAAAAAAAAAAAAAAAAACTCTTACCCGTTCACCGCTGATTTTTTGAAAATTTCCTTTTTAGGAAATCTTCTTCCAAGAAGCGTCCTCCTTTTTTATTTTTTTAAGGCAAATAAGCTTTAAACTTAAAGGACATAAAGACTTTAAGGAACACTGTTGCATTGGGATGGG